ACAATAACATCTAATAACACATGTCCAATTTTTCACAATTTTGTTACTTCGAGTGCAATATAGATTATAATGCACTTTTGTAGACTCTGAATATAAAAGAATCGACGATCAATAGAATACAATTTGGATTCGAAAAGGTTCTTTTCTTTACTTGGAAAATGAAAACGAGGCTAGATTGAATAGTATGGATTGTCCCCATTGTTTGGACATGAAATATGAATAATAATTTTTATTTGGCGACCACATTGTACAAAGTTTATACAAATCTGGTACTTTTTATGTGAAATAAAGAATTCTACATGTATTACACATGTTGTATAAATTTAAGAAAATGCGGGATAAGCACGTCTTGCTTTAAATGTCACAAAGGTCTGGGTTTGACTTATGTGACAAATATTAAATAGTTTCTATTAAACCTACATGTACTATGGAATGTGTGGCGATTGGTAGTATTTTTCTTTGTTATAAATGTATAACTATTCAGTTTCCATTTTTTTTTAAGTTAAAGGGATTAGGTCTAGTTTCGATTCTGACCACGTTAGATTCGCCTGTGCAATTTTCAAGTTTCGAAAATCATTTTCTTTCAAAATAAGTATATCGAGTAGACCGCAAAATCATTATTTAAGCAATTCGAGACTATTCGGAAAGTTATTCAAAGTGAAGCGATCAATTTGCAGCTCTACTCGTTTAAAAATAAACTTTAATGGAGATAAAATTAGTTTTGGAAGAATGGCAATGACTGGGTTGATCAAAGTATAATATTTTATTTCAGCATTTTTTGTTGGCTAAAAGTAAGTAGCTATGTGCCATCTGGTACAACATTTCAAAGTTTTATTGATATCTCAAGGCCCAAATGGGCATGTGAGAAAACAACAATATAACAAATGATTACAAAACAATGTAAAGTGATACATAAATGAAATGAAACCGTGGCAATGTTATGAACATAATTATGTATGTAAGGAAACCAAAAGCAAAAGAACAAAATAGAATATAAAAAAAATATATACATGTACAAAATTTAACAATTTAGAATCGGAGAATGAGATCAAAATGAAAAAAAAAATCAATATGTATTGTTAAGCACAAAGATAATTTTCTTACATAATATTGCTAGATTTAGTTTTTTAACATTTTTGCTTTCATTATTCATTAACTTTGAAAAATTAATAATGTTAGGCCTATGAAAATATGAATTGTCTAAATATGTCGTTCTCAGGCATTGAAAATAGGAACAGTGAAATAAATAATGAAACTCGTCACCTAACAGATTATCAGAACATAAACAACACACTCTTAGACTTCTATCCAATTTAAAAAATCTACCTGTTTCAATTGGCATTTTGTGGTTCATACATCTAATTTTGAAAAACGATATTGCTAAATCTGATGGTAAAATGTTAAAGTATTTTTCAAAACCATATTGACTTTTAAAACTTCTATAATTCAGACATTTACTGGATTCATAAATAGTAGTTTGCCAACCTTGAATAAACTGATCCTTAATTCTAGCAGAAATATTTTTTTTTTAAATATGGGACGGAATTGACTGTTTGAAAAATCCAAGAACTGGACAAACCGAGAGAATCTAAAGAAGTATGCACAAATTTCAACCAATGAAAATCCACATCAAAATCAGAGTATATAGTTTCTTTGACATGCAATACAGCATAGAACAAATTTTATCTTTTTTATCATTAATCAATTTGCCCCAATAGTTCAGAACTATTGACTTAATTTGCAATGACAAAGGCAATATTCCTAGCTCACCATAAATCATACATGATGGGGTAAATTGCTTCAGTCCGAAAACTAATTTAATATATTAGTTTTTAATATATTTCAATTGGAAACGATCAATTATTTCCAAGAAAATCACTAATTAAGGTATCTGAAAACCCTAAAAAAAGAAAGTCACACCCATCTGTTTCTGGCAATTTAATGTCTCCATCAAAGTCCAAACTATCTGAATAGATAAACATTGACTATGTAAAACCTTCAAAATTGCAAAAGAGAGCAAATTCAACAAAGTCTCCAAAGCCCAGTGCCAGTAAATCAACAGTTGAGTTTACGAGGACTGCACTTTCAATGGAAGACAGTGAGAGTGATGAATCACAGTCCAACCTTGCAGATAGCCAGGAATACGTATGTTATGTCTGTAATAAGTTCTGACCAGATACCCTCAATCTTGAATACTTTCTTGAATTTATTCAATGGGCACAATGTGATAAATGTGGACATTGGACCCATCTCGAATATTGTACAAAAGTAAAGTGCCTAAGGCGGGATTTAACATTTTTGTGTCCCCATTGTAGTTAGAATCTGTTGTGTCCCCATTGTAGTTAGAATCTGACAGAAAATTGAAAAAAAAATTAACTTGTTATTGTTTTAGGTACAGTTTTTGGAACAGTAAAAGTATTAACAGTTAACTAATTTTGAGTCTTTCCTTAACTAAAATAACAACAAACACTATACTAGCATGACCAGACGGGGTACGTTTATTTGATGAGCAAAAACAGGTAACAGGGCTTTAAACAGAGCAATATTTTACACACAATTGATAACAATGGAAAGAACATGTAATCTAAGCACGTTATTATTATATCAGTTGTTCTGGTCTTGCAAAATATTCATTACATGATAACAGTATACGCCTTTGCCTGCGAATAAATTGTTTTTTAAAAAAAATATACAACCATGAAATGCTTTTATACAACAAATTTAATCAGGCACGCTAACGCGATCTAACTCGGTCAGGAAAACTCAGAGATAAAATTCATTTTTTTAATGAAAAAACACTGAGAACCTTTGTCCGTTTGCCAACTGTAAGAACGTTAAATCCTGGACCTCATTTATCTAGCGTTTGAATCATACTATGATAAACATCAAAAATATTCTCAATACATCATGAATTTGTAAAAACAAAACTTATTCAATATGAAATTGGATATGTTACGCTCGAAAACGTCTGGTAGAATGACCAGTACACATTAACATTAACCGTTCATTGCGACTTAAGCACGAGAAAAACGATGACAAATCACTGTATAGAAAGCGATACGCAAAGACAAACATTTTACGCGCTATACTATCGAAACGCGTAAAATTTCAAGTCTTTCCTTAACTAAAAATAACAACAAACACTATAGCTGGCATGACCAGACGGGGTACGTAGGAAAAACTATCAAAAAGAACGGGCTGGAAGCCGCAATCACACACTTATTATAGACCTAGCTGTTTCGTGACAGCTAACCTTCCTGTCTAGTGAATCGGCAACATAGCCGTTACTTTGCTCTTATCGCATTTCCAACGACCGTGACGTTTCCAACAACGATCACTGACAGAAGCATTTGCAGCAACCGTAGCACCACCGCTTCTTAAAGAATGTAACCCGAAATCAACATTGCCTGCGATTTCACGTAATCTATGTAAAAGCGTTTCCCGAGCTCGAGTGTAACTGAGCGGTTTATCTTTATAAATGAGCTTAGAAATACCTCGCGTTCTGAAACACGGCTTGAACAAAAAATGAGAATTTGCAGAAAAAATGTTAGCCTCTACGAAATATCTTCTTAGCATAGAATAAGGACAAGCGATTGTGTCGCCCTTAGCAACAACCACGTCACTTCCGTGCCTGTATTGGTCGGTTTTGCTTTTACGGATATGTAAAGAAAAATAAATCGTCATGGAACGTAATGTCATTACAATGCAAATTTCGTATTTCATTCAAACGGAGAAACGCTGAAAATCCTAATAAAATCATGCACAAATCTCTTAATATTAATACATCAGTTGTACTTTTCGTATTTACTACACAATTCAATTAAAAGATCTTTAGTCACTGGTTGCTTCTTATTCACATGTCTAGATAAAGTACGTTTAGCACTTTCAACTAAGTTTTTTACAAAATGGTTCTCTGTGGATCCTGAAGATTGTTTAAAGAATGTGCCCATTTGATTCCATAAACAGTAGAGGAAATCACGTGATTAGAACAACCTTTGTTCATCAAGTCAGTTAGATACAAAGCTATACAAACTGGTGAAGCAGGCAAAGCACTCCCTCCTTTAGACGTAATGAATGTTTTCCATTTCATGAAAATAAGAGAAATATTTATTACAGTAGTGTCACTTCTAGAGTCTACAATTTATCAGCCATTTGAGATGCAAGATTCTTCAAAAGAGGGTCATCAATCCCGGCCTTGTTGAGCTCATCGTTTATCGTCTGCTTCAATCTCAAGCCTGAATAAGAAGTACAACAATGCAGAAGCATGAAGAAATAATTTATATAAATCTTAAAGCTATAAAACCAAACTTCAATGGTCTGCCATCAAATATTCCGTTTCTTCCTCTGCCCCTTTTTGTCAAAATTCCTGGCTGAAAGAGAAACATATTCAAGTACAAAAATTTGCTTGATTTTTTTCCATCGGGAAACAAAACGGGCCAATACGGTGCCGACCGCCATATGGGTACAACTAAGTGCACGTGCATTTTTCCTTTTTAATTTTGTTCAAAGTAATCAAAACTAATCTCGGGGGCGGAATAAGCCAATTATTTTCACCAGCCCATGCTTGTGCAAAAGCGTCGATACCGGCTGTTTCCAGGGCACCAACATCTAGAATTGAATTTCAAACATTTACAATTATAATCGTAAGCGAAACGATCAAAAGAATGAGGACCCATTTTGACTCAAGTATATCGAACACCCAGTCTGTAACTGACCAGTCGTCACTGTTTCAAAACACCTGCTGAGAAAAATCAGCCTCCGAATTATCTTCCCTTGGAACCAGTGAGGAAACAATGATATGTCATGCTTTCTGCAAACATCATAAATTTGCACAGAAATATCATTCAAATAAGGCTTTTTACTGCCAACTTTCAAAAATTGAACATACATTTCTGTTGTCTGAATTTATTAAAACTTTATTTTCCTGCAGATATTGCAAAGAAGAATAAATAGACCTCCGTACAGCCTCGAGCTCTCGCCACGTGGAGCTTAAAATCTGCTCAGATTCGGACCATGTTGCCAAAAAATTGACTATCGTCAATTCCATCAACATAACTACCAAATCCAGATCCACTGGCGTCAACAAAGACGTTTTTTACACCAATGACGTCAACGGAGACGCTTGCGTTATCAACGCTCTCCATCTGTCCAAAACTACACATGTTCAGTGACCTCAAATTTTCCTTCCAAAAAATCAATTCCGATAAAACCTCGGACGAAACCTTAACAGGTGCGTTCCAACTTGCCTTGGATTGTATACACTGATAAAGTGACCTTGACTTTAAACGGACAACTGGACCTAATACACATTGCATAGACAATAACTGGCCTGTTAAACATGCCAACATACGGACTGGAATGAAAACTTGTCCTGTACTAACTTTCAAAACAAGTTGTTCTATAAGCTGAAAAGCTCTTTCTAATCTATCCTCCGTTACTCTCAAAATTCCCTGTTCCATGTCCCAGAAGTAACCTAGCCATGTTAAAAATAAACAAGGTTGCCAGTTGCATTTTTCATCCGCTATCAAGAACCCAAAATCTATCAAGTCTTGTCTAATGAAAGAACTATCTCTCAAAGCTTCAGCGAAAGTGTGATTGCCACCAAGGCCGTCATCTAAAAATAATACGACTCTTAAACCCAAGCTACGCCATTTTTCTACAAGTACCCTCAAAACCTTTGTAAAAATATATCCTGCTGTGGATATCCCAAAAGGCAAAACGTTGAACACATAATACTTTTTGTGACCATTTTGTGTCCAATGAAAACCTAAATATGTCCTATGTGACCGATCGATCATTATATGGTGGTATGCACTTTTAATGTCAAACGAAAACACATAATCACCTTTATGAAAAAGTTGCCTAGCAACAGACTGGTCTTCGTACCGACTTTGTGATTTAAATAAAACCGGATTTACATGTCTGCAATCAAGTACCAGTCTGGCTTTACCTGAACGATTAAAAGCTACAGTCAACGGGTTAACAACTAACGGAACCGACTGTACTTCAGAAACACACCCTTTAGCCACCAAATTTTGGATTTCTGCAGTGACAAAGGTAGAATTCTCTAAAGCAGAACTGTTATTCTTAATTTCAGTAGTAGCAGGAAAATTCATAAAAGGAAGTTTATAGCCTTTGTCTATAACATCAATAATATATTCATTAGAACATGCCTCCTTCCAATGCTTTAAGTTTCCCCTTAACCTACCTACCGGAGTGACTACTTCCGGTGACATTTCTAGACCGTTACAGTAGTATAGGCGCCTCTTTAGGGGCACGACTGCGCATGCGCGGCGCCATATTGGATTCTATTTTTAGAATGACATCATCGTTCTATTTTGAGAATGTGATCATCCGTCTATTTTTAGAATGACATTATCGTTCTATTTTTAATCTCCCGGAAGTATACGGAGCTGACTCGTATACACGATTTAGGGCTTGAATCGCGGACATTGAGGGTCAGGTCCTCGGCCCTAGACGGAGAGATAATTAACATCATGAAAGATAAAAGAAATGTTTCTAAATAGATACGTGCTTAATTTATAAATAAAAAAACAAATAGTTTTTTTTTTAATATGTTCAAAATAAATAATATTTATAAAATATAACTCGTTTACTTACCTACATTTAGTAAGGAAATGACTGTCATAGCGTAACGTTCTTGTAGACTGCGCATGATCTATTTTTAGTCGCGGTATTTCACAACCACCAGGAGCTATTTCATCAGCCCCACGCGGGTGTCAATGAAAGAAAAAGGCATTAAGTACAGTCGCCGCTCAGTCTAGATTCACAATACCTAGCGGAACTATTTTGAACAAAAACCCTTTATCCTTCGTTACTAAATATAACTTTTCATTAATCACAAAAGAATCTATTATCCTTTCAAACGCAGCGACCGTCAAGTACAGTCGCCACTTAGTCTAGATTTACAATACCTAGCGGAACTATGTTGAACAAAAACCCTTTATCCTTCGTTACTAAATATAGCTTTTCATTAATCTTATCCTTTTAAATGCAGCGACCATTAAGTAAAAACTCATTAACGAGAAATTGCTACGCATGCATTAACATATTTTAACACTTCATATATTGTACCGTTCCTTTTAAGTGCATGCTACGGTAAACTGATTGCATATTTTAAACACGGTTGCCCTTAGCAACTGGTCAAATTTTGTGATTTTTATGAACACTTCAGATTCTTATTTTTTTATACAAAAATAAATTTTAAATGAATAACTTATGTATAAGAAAGTTGTAAACTGATTTTAAATGAAATTTATAATACATTTAAGCTATAAACCGGTTTTTTATCGTTTGGGCAACCGTTTACGCTCAAAATTTTCGAGATAAAGTCGTTATAAGATAGAATAAACCGAAAGCTTTCGTTTTGACCCGGGGTTCTCGATTCGATTTTCAGCCGTTTTTGAGTTATGACGCAAGAGCGATTTTAAACCCTAAATTGCGAAAGTCAATAAAAACGTTAGAACTTTTTACCAATCGATTCGTCTCGTCGCGCTGATTAAGAAAATATATAGGTTTATGGGTTTATCTTTTACCATTTTCGAGTAATTCGAGTTTAAATTCACCGGAAGTGACGTCACAGAAATTTCAAAATCGATTTCTTCGTTATTACTTGACCGAATATATACGTGTTTGGTATCGTTGGAAAGCATTTTACCACACCTGTTACCTGACGCTATTCAAAAAGCCATTGGACCGGAACTGAAATCACTGAAGCGTAAAAACGTGTTTTCTGTACCACGTCCGGACCGAACTAAGGCGTGTTTGGTATCAAACGAAATGTCTTAAGTCGCTCTTTATGAATACGGACTAAAATCGAAATTAAAATCACTCATGCGTAAAAATCATTAAAATAACTAAAATAAGCTTACCCCCAGTCTTTACTCCTTGCCTATCAAACTATTTATGACAAGTTACTATAGCCTATCGTTAAACGGTCCAGTTACGACAGGTTTAAACCGGTATTGCTATTTTTGATTAGCCAATGAAATTGAAGAACGGTGACGTTTAAAAATAGACAGCCTCGTTTTGAACCCACTCTTTTTCATTAACCAATCAAAATGGAGAACGATGACGTTTAAAAATAGACAGCCTCGTTTTGAACCCACTCTTTTTCATTAACCAATCAAAATGGAGAACGATGACGTTCTTACCAAAAATAGATATGACGCGCGCAACGGAGAGTATATAAAAATGCGCTTTAGCCCCCTCCGTCATTCTGACTTCAGAACTCTAACCGACAACATGGAAAACATAGCAGCTACTTTCGAAATGATGGTGAATTCTTTCACCGACGCTGAAGAATTAATGAATTTTGCTGCGACATGGGGGATACAGGATTCCCCCGGGGTGCGGTTTCGACTATTTCAGTTAAGGAACCCACAATATGGAGATGACTTTGTGAATGAACAAATGGAAAGATTACTCGACAGTTTAAACGACACAATGCAGAACCGAGAAGACACGGAAAATTTTGATTTGGCGCTAGAGTACGTAAGAGAGCAAGAGGAAATCCATGGTGCAGTAAGAGCACTATTATTTGACGAAGAAATGGATAAGATGGCGACTGCTTGTGTGGAAGACGGGGAGTGGAGCCCTCAATCACCAGGGCTACAAGTAGGGAGTGGGGATGAGCCTCAAGCGGGACCCTCTCATAGGCCCGACGCCCCACGGAGCTTCAGTATACGATAAGTAAAAAATCAGAAAGGACATACGCAACAAAAGCAGCGGTGGATCGTACATATCAAGTGAAAATTGATGAACAGTATAATGGACAGAGACTGCAAAATGTGAGACAAGGACTTCACCAAATGTTTGAAGACGTGCTCGAAGAAGCCCGGGGCAATTTGGCGGGGAACGATTTGGGTCGTGTCGTTATTCATCATCAAGGATTACACGATCCCATCATTGTGCCCCTCCAGCCCTGGGACCAGTTGACCGCCGATAAAGTGATGGAAATCATCGAAAAGGTACTGAATAGCAACCAAAACTTGTCCATCGATGAAAGCTTCTATATATCTATAGGCTCTATTGAATTACCAAAAGGAGGAGCAAGGCGGAGAATCACTAAACTAAAAGGAAAAAATAATTCGTTAAAGTTAAAAACCTCTATAGTCACAATTGAGAACGAAGATCAACTGTGTATGGCGAGGGCGATCGGGGTGAGCTGGGCAAAACTCAATAGATGTACACCAGAAGAATGGAAAGAAATAGCTAAAAAACGTCAAAAGAAAAGTAACCTACAACTGATACTAGAAAACCATAAAGTGCCAGAGCATTACTACAAAGATTTGATCAAAAAGAAAAGAGACGAACAGAGACAACTAGCGGTAGCCATCAGCCAATTAGCCGGAGTGCCCTTAGATCGGCCCGCTAGTTTGAATGACGTAGAGGCGTTCGAAGAAGTGTTGGGAGTGCGCGTGATGGTGGTCAGCGCCATACTAGGCAACAAGTTTATTACCAGCCCTAGTCAGGACGAACGTCCATGTATTTACCTGTACCTCGTGGACGACGACCACTTTCACGCCATCACCAGCATAACAGGATTCTTCAGCGCGAGGTATTTCTGCGACCAATGCCTCAAACACTACGACCACAGAGAAAATCATCAGTGTGAGACCTCTTGTATTGTGTGTAAGACGGACAACTGCCCAGAAACAAACAACACAGTCAAATGTGATAACTGTAACATGACATGCAGATCAGACAAATGTTTTAAACAACATAAAACAGTACCAGTACATAAAAAAGGAAAATGTAAAGGAAAACCCAGCGGACTATCCCAGTGTCAAAAATACTGGAAATGCCCAACATGCTACAAAGTCATAAGGACCGACAAAAGGAAAAAAGAAGACCATGAGTGCGGAGAATATTTGTGTAACTCGTGCGAACAATATGTAATGGAAGGACATTTATGTTATCTCAGATCAATACCAGCCAAGGAACATTATAATTCTAAATTTATATTTTTTGATTTTGAATGTTGTCAGGATGAAGTGTCAGAGTGTGAAAATGGATATGTAGCGAGTAGAAAACGAAATTGTAAAGACTGTCAATCAGAACAGGTATGTAAATCTTGCTCTAAATGTCAACACTGTAAATCATCTTGGTGCGGAAAAGCCACTCATCGTCCCAATTTTGTAGTAGCACATACTGTATGTCCAAAATGTATCGATAAAACCTTGACCCCCGAATCTATATGTAAAAAATGCGGTACACGGTGCGACGAATGTGACAACTCTGAGCTACATGATAATGAAGACCCAGGACCGTGTCCGGGTAAATGTGGATTCAGAGAAGTCACGTTCGAAGGAGCCGACACTGCAGAAAAATTTGGTGAATGGTTATTTTCCCCTCATCACGAAAATTTCAAAGTATTTGCTCATAATATGAAAGGTTACGACGGTTATTTTCTGTTAGAGTACTTAATAGACCAATCCATGAGACCGGACAAGATTATTTACAGTGGCTCCAAAATTATGTATATGACAATAGAGTCAGATTTACATATCAAAGTGATTGACAGTCTCAACTTTTTACCCATGAAATTGTCCGCCCTCCCTAAAGCTTTTGGATTGACTGAATTAAAGAAAGGTTGGTTTCCCCATTACTTTAATACTAGCGAAAATCAGACATATGTAGGCCCGTACCCAAATGCTCAGTGTTATGGTCATGATTTTATGAGTGAGAAAGAGAGAGCTGAATTGTTAGTGTGGTTGAGTGAGAGAAAGGACGACGTGTTTGATTTTAGAAAAGAAATATTAGATTATTGTAGGAGTGATGTAGATATTTTAAGACAAGCGTGTTTGAAATTTAGAGAGTTGTTAATGAGTGCTACGGGTGAAAGAATAGAGGTGGTGAATGAAAAAGGAAAGAAAGAAAAAACGTGGTCGGAGCCGTTGATCCATTCGATTCCGTGACCATAGCTTCGTCTGCATGAATGTCTTTAGAACCAAATTTTTAGAAGAAGAATGGAAAGTAAAATTAGAGGGGCAGGGCATGATTGGATACCTTCAAAATTAATAGACGGAAAGCTTTATGTGTTGCGCGAAAACGAATGATCCTCGAAACCAAACTCACGGTGAGAAAGTAACTGAGACAGAATTTGTAAGGACACCCATAGCGAAAATTCCTCCTAATGGTTATAATGATCAATATAGCGAAGCGTCCATACAATGGTTAGAAAATGGGTGGCGTGTACAAAAAAACGTCAAAA